ATTTAATTTTTAATTATTTAATTAGTGTGTGCATATTGATATAATATTAGGAAAAAAATGCTATTAATCAAAATGACTGAACCCATGTTTACAATCACATAGTTTTCTGAGAATCTCTTAATTCAAAGTGTCTTTTTTCATTTTGGAATTTGTTTCTCAGTTTCACATTAGTACTGTATTAGTCCATTTTCACACTGCTGATAATGACATAGCCGAGACTAGGAGGGAAAAGAAGTTTAATCGGACTTACAGTTCTAAATGGCTGGAGAGGCCTCAGAATCATGTTGGAAGGTGGAAGGCACTTCTTACATCGTGGCAGCAAAGGAAAATGAGGAAGAAGCAAAAGTGGAAACCCCTGATAAACCCACCAGATCTCATGAGACTTATTCACTATCATGATAATAATATGGAAAGAAACGGCCCCCATGATCCAATTACCTCCCACTGGTCCCTTTCACAACAGGAGGGAATTCTGGAGAATACAATTCAAGTTTAGACTTGAATGGGGGACACAAACTATGTCCACTCCAAATCTCATGTCCTCACCTTTCAAAACTAATCGTGCCTTTCCAACAGTCCTCCAAACTCTTAATTCATTTCAACATTACCCAAAAGTCCACAGTCCAAAGTCTCATCTGAGACGAAGCTAGTCCCTTCCACCTATGAGCCTGTAAAATCAAAATCAAGTTAGTTACTTCCTAGATACAGTGGGGTTACAGGTATTGGGTAACATAGCCATTTAAAATGGGAGAAACTGGCCAAAACAAAGGGGTTACAGGCCACATGCAAGTCCAAAATCCAGCAGGATATTCAGATTTTAAAGCTCCAAAATGATCTCTTTTGACTCCAGTCTCACATCCAGGTCACACTGATACAAGAGGTAGGTTCTCATAGTCTCAGGCAGCTTCACCCTATGGCTTTGCAGGGTACAACCTCCTTCCTGACTACGCTCCTGGGCTGACATTGGGCTGACGTTGGGTGTCTGTGGCTTTTCCAGGTGCTGGGTGCAAGCTGTCAGTGAGTACACCGATTCCAGGGTATGGAGAACAGTGGGCCCTCTTCTTACCAGCTCCACTAGGCAGTGCCCCAGTAGGGACATTTTGTGGGAGTTCTGAGCCAACATTTTAATTCTTCACAGCCTTAGCAGAGGTTCTTCATGAGGGCCTGCCCCTGCAGCAACCTTTTTCCTGGATATCCAGGCATTTCCCTACATCCTCTGAAATCTAGGCAGGGGTTCCCAAACCTCGGTTCTTGACTACTGTGCACCCACAGGCTCAATACCACATGGAAGCTGCCAAGGCTTGGGGCTTCCACCCTCTGAAGCCACAGCCCAAGCTATACATTGACTCTTTTCAGTCATAGCAGGAGCAGCTGGGACACGGGGGCACCAAGTCCCTAGGGCTGCACAATACCTGAGGACCCTCGGCTGGGCCCACAAACCACTTTTTCTTGCAGAGCCTCTGGGCCTAGGATGGGAGGGGGAGAAGGTTGCTGAAATAGTCTGGAAACATTTTCCCCCATGGCCTTGGGGATTAATATTAGGCTCTTTGCTACTTATGCAAATTTCCGCAGCATGTTTGAATTTTTTCTCAAAACATGGGTTTTTCTTTTCTACTCTATCATCAGGCTGCAAATTTTCTAAACTTTTATGCTGTTTCACTTTAAAACAGAATGCTTTAAACAGTACCCAAGTCATCTCTTGTATGCTTTTCTGCGTAAAAATTTCTTTATCAGATACCCTAAATCATCTCTCTTAAGTTCAAGTTCACAAATCTCTAGGGCAGGGACAAAATGCCACCAGTCCCTTTGCTAAAACATAGCAAGAGTCACATTTGCTCCAGTTCCCCACAAGTTTCTCATCTTCATCTGAGACCACTTCAGCCTGCACCTCATCATTCGTATCACTATCAACATTTTTGTCAAATCCATTCAACAAAACTGTAGGAGGTTTCGAACATTCCCACATTGTCCTGTGTTCTTCCGATCCCTCCAATCTGTTCCAACCTTTGCCTGTTACCCAGTTCCAAAGTTGCTTCCACAGTTTTAGGAATCTTTTCAGCAACACCCCTCTTCTGGTACCAATTTACTGTATGAGTCCATTTACACACTCCTGATAAAGACATGCCCATGACTGGGAAGTAAATGAGGTATAATTGAACTTACCATTCCACATGGCTGGTGAGGCCTCAGAAGCATGGCAGAAGAGAAAAGGCACTTCTTACAGTACATCAGCAAGAGAAAATAAGGAAGAAGCAAAAGCAGAAGGCCTGATAAACCCATCAGATCTTGTGAGACTTATTCACTATCACTAGAATAGCATGGAAAAACCAGCCCCCATGATTCAATTACCTACCCGTGGTCCTTCCAGATCCCTCCCAGTACACATAGAAATTCTTGGAGATACAATTCAGTTTAGATTTGAATGGGGACAAGAGCCCATCATGTACAGGCCCATAAAATGAGAAGAGACTATTTCCTGGAAATTCGTGGGTTATACAAAGGACAAAGGCATTTCTTTGTTGCTTCTTGTTTCCTTAGCAGTGTAGCTGTGGGCATATCTTAGTCACAAAGGGCAAAGGCATTTTTATGTTGGACCTTGTTCTTTTATCTGAGTGGGCTGAGGGTTGGTGCAAGTTTTTCTATCTGTGCCTGCAGCCTGATTTTTCATGTTGTTTCTCTGTTTAAAAGGAGTTTGGCCAAAGACCAGCTTTTAGGTTGTCTGACAAACTAAGTTTTCCTTTTTTCCTCCCTCAATAATATTACTGGGTTATTTTTATAAGACTGTTAAAGCAATGTTGTGTCTCAGCAACTCTGGCCCAGGCAAACCTGGTATGTAATATTGGCTCAGTCTCTGACTAGTGAGATAATAGGTTATTTATATATGTATATCAAATATGTATACATATATATATATAGTATTATATAGGTAAAATACAGGGCCACTTTACATATATATATATATATATATATATATATATATATACACAATATTACATAGGTAAAAAACGGCTACTTTTTGAGAAATGATTCATTAGGTGATTTTGTTGTTTTGTGAAAATCAGAGTGTATTTACACAAACCTAGGTGGTACAGCCTACTACACACCTAAGCTATACTGTATAGCCTTATTTCTTCTAGACTGCAAAATTGTGCAGCATGTTAACTGTATTGAATTCAATAGTTAATTATTACATAATGGTCAGTATTGTGTATCTAAACACAGGCAAAGTACACTAAAATATGGTATAAAGATTAAAAATGTATACCTGTATAGGGCACTTACTATGAATGAAGCTTACAGGATGAAAAGCTGCTCTAGGTGAAGCAATAAATGAGTTAACTAAGTGAATGTGAAGGCCTTGGACACTACTGTATGCTCTTGTAGACTTATAGGCTATATTAACTTTATTTAAATTTTATATTTTTATTCCACAATAAATTAACTTTAGCTTATAGTAACTTTCTTACTTTAGAAAGTTCTGTTGTTGTTATTGTTGTTTTTTGAGATGAAGTTTCACTCTTGTTGCCCAGGCTGGAGTGCAAAAGCACAATCTCAGCTCACTGCAACCTCCATCTCCCAGGTTCAAGTGATTCTCCTGCCTCAGCCTCCCAAGTAGCTGGGATTACAGGCATGCACCACCATGCCCCACTAATTTTTTTCTATTTAGTAGAGATGTGGTTTCACCATGTTGCTCAGGCTGGTCTTGAACCCCTGACCTCAGGTGATTCACCCACCTCAGCTTCTCAAAGTGCTGGATTACAGGTGTGAGCCAACATGCTAGGCTGAAAGTTTTTAATTAAAACAATCTTCACATTTATAAATACTTTGCTTAAACACAAACACACTGTACAACTGTCCAAAAAGTTTCTTTTCTTTAGACTTATTTATAAGCTTTTAAAATTTTTGTACTTTAAATGTATTTTTGTTAAAAATGAAGACAAAAACATACACATTAGCCTTGGCCTACACAGGGTCAATATTATCAATATTGCTGTCTTCCAACTCCACATCTTGTCCCACTGGAAGGGCTACGTGAGCAATAATATTCATAGATCTGTCATCTATGATAACAATGCTTTTCTCTGGAATACCTCCTGATGGACTTGCCTGAGGATGTTTTATAGTTAACTTTTTTTTTTTTACAAGTAGAAGAAATACACTCTAAAATAACAATTAAAAGTATAGTATTGGCTGGGTGTGGTGGCTCATGCCTGTAATCCCAGCACTTTGGGAGGTCAAGGCGTGTGAATTACCTGAGATCAGGAGCTCCAGGCCAGCCTGGCCAATTTAGTGAAACCCTGTCTCTACTAAAAATACAAAAATTAGCTGGGTGTGGTGGTGGGCACCTGTAATTCCAGCTACTCAGGAGGCTGAGGCAGAAGAATAGCTTGAACCCAGGAGGAGGAGGTTGCAGTGAGCCAAGATTGTGCCATTGCACTCCAGCCTGGGCAACAAGAGTGAAACTCAGCCTCAAAAAAATAAAGTATAGTATTGTAAATACATTTAACAGTAACATAGTTGTTTGTTATCAAGTATTATGTATCATATGCCATGCATAATTGTATGTGCTATTCTTGACTGGCAGTGCAATAGGTTTGTTTACACCAGTACCACCACAAACAAATGAGTAATGTGTTGTGCTATGACATTAGGATGGCTATAATATCACTAGATTATGGCAATTTTTCAGCTTCAGCTCTATTATAATATTATGTGACCACCATCATAATGCAATCCATCATTGATCAAAATGTCATACAGCTCAAGACTTGTATGTGTGTGTGTTTGTGTGTGGATGTGTGTTTGTAAAGTAAAACAGAAAGCTTCATAGAAGGTTGCAATGAGAATAGTGAGGATTAAATGTGAAATATATAATAATGTGCCTGCTATGAATTAAGAACTATAATGTTCTCATTTCTTTGTTTTCTTTCTGTTTCTTGTTTGTGTCTGAGAATTATGAAGATATGATCACTAGTTTTTTTTTTTTTTTTTTTTCTCGGTGAAATTGAATTTTTATTCCAAATGACTGTAATATCTAGAAAGACAGTAGCTAACACTCAGAACAATTTGCTTAAGTGTAAATTAAAAGCAGTTGATTTGCAGGAGAGCAACAGTGGGGTGATAGCCATGGCACGCTGATAACGTTATATCCAGAAAGCATAAATACTCAATGACCTCATATGCAATCTGGATGCAGCATTGGCAGCAAACATTAAAAAAGAAGGAAAGAAAGAAGAAAGGTAAAGAAGAAAAAAAAGTCCCCACAAAATCCCAAACCTCAGAAGTTAACATTCACTTAAGAATACAGTGATGAAGACTTTTGGTAGCAAAATTTGCACAGTTCTGAAAACGGGAGTCTTCAAAAGTACTTCTTCAAATTCAAAAGCTAAGAAAACCAAAGAGCAAACAGTTACACGGGCTTAGTGGAGATGCCACCTGTCATGAAGATGACCATCAGTCCTACTTCCCAGACACAGTGAGAACCGGTGAGCCTGACGAACCTGAAGGAAAAGGCCAGCTGGTGGACGCTGATGCCACGGACTATATGAGAACACACCGGGTCAACTTATCATTGACAGCAAGAGACAACTATTGTTCTTCCTGGCTGATGCCGAGGCTGCCTTTCTGCACCTCAAGCTCCTCCGCACTGACCATTGATGGGTCAATGGCCGCGTATTTGGTTCCATGGAATTGCAACAAATGTATCTGTACATAAAGATTCACCTCTGCACTTCTGCACAGGTATGGGAAATTGCCTCCTGTTTTAAGGTGAGCTCTTCGGGCATTAGGATACAGCTTGTACATTTCTTCTTTAGCTTCAGTTGAAAGTGCACTCTGATCAAACACGTCCATAATGGTTACAGGGATGTCCCGAATTTTATGAGGTTCCACATAAGAATTTTGACAGTTCAAGGTAAGTCTTGAAGCCAGTTCACTCTGACCCAAACTTTCTAGCCTGTCTACCATGAAATCAATGGCATCAGCCATCATAGGGTCCACTGGGCCAGATGAAAAGTTTCCAAGAACTATCTTTTTGAGCATAAATGCTGGCATCAGCCAAAAGCTGTTTGCAGTCCAAGTTTGGTTGAAGATAGAGGTGTCACTGAAGGAATTGCAGAGGATGAGGGAATGGACTCTCGGAGATTTGTGAGTGTATTCAGCAAATTTCTGGGCCAAAAAGCCTCCCAAAGAAGCGCCAAAAAAGATGAACTTTATCCAATTGTAAATGGTCTAAAAGTTTTCTGAATCCATCACAGAATTCGAGATGGTCCCCAATAAACTGGATACTGCAAAGCGATAACCCGGTAACCCCATCCAGTCAGAGCCAAAATCTGCCGGAAAAAGACATCTGCAGTTCCACTGACAGGAGGCAGGAATATCAGAGGACACCTGATACTTCGGGGACCCGCATCATAGAGCGACCATATCTTACTGTCATCATCATCTACGATAATCTTTTTAAGGGGAACTGAACCTCTAAACCAGTTATAATCAGGAGAGACTTAATCTCTCCCATGATTAGCTGAAATGGAGGTTAACCCTGACATCTGTGCCATCTCTTCTCATGCTCTTGGTATAGAAGCTTTTGGAATCTGGACACAGCTATTGAGTTACTCCTCAGTCTGTTGAATCTTTGTGCCAAAAGGAGCTCACACCTGGCCCACACTCAGCAACGACAAAGACATCTGTCACTTTCAGACAGAGGTGCTGTCTCCAAAATTACTGGCCTCTGTTCAGAGTTCTTAAAAGTTTGCTGGGGAAAAAAAAATGTTCCTGGGCTGCCGTGGCCGCCCCACGTCCCTTCCCCTCCTCCCGGAGGCCGCTCTTCTCTCCAGTACGAGCGCGGGCCGTGGAGGCGGCTGGGCCCGGCTGTTTTTTTTTGTTTTTGTTTTTTTTTTTGCATGATTTACATGGATCTTGATACTCTGTAGTACCACTATGTGAATATTTATCTTGGGATCTGCTGATGCAGTTGGGTCACTTTGAAAAAAATAATAAAAATAAAGATAGTTTTCCCACCATTTCACTTTCTACACCATTTGTGAAAGGAAGATAGAACAACCCCTCACTATCTGAAAACAACAAAGTGGAGTTTACACTTTCTATAGTAAGCGGCTGATCTGCTCATCAGACACCATCTCTCCAGCAGAACTGATAACATTTAAGAACTATGGAATACAAGGAGTGATTGGAAATCAGTGATGTGATTAGATTGTCATCATCTGTAGAAATTTGTTACTTAGATAAAACTGTTTCTTTTTGATTGACACTTCAAGACATGTTTATCAGAATGAGGCTATCCCTAATTGACTGACTTTGAATAGAAAAGAACAGGCATTGATTAGTTGGCTTAGAAAATTATTTTCAACATAAAGGCAGACAGAAATTAAAAGAATAAGAGACTGAATGCTCTCTCATGAAAATAAGGGCAGATGCTTCTTCCCAAACCTTTGTTTCAGAATTTATTTCTCTGTCCTTCTCAAATATATGTGAATTTCATAATGAATATGTTAGACTCTTCCAGTCTCACAATTGAGGAATGTTTCCTCAAGGAACCTGTATCCAACATTCTGAAATATGTTAGCCTCTTCCCAGTTGTAGGAAACCAGCCCCACACCCCACCCATGGGTACCCCAAGTTCGGTGGCAACAAAGGAATGAGAAAAAGACAGATTAAGAGAGAGAGTGGGACCAGGGGATCATCGCTTATTTTTACTGGAGGCAGTGAAGACCCCAAGCTCTGGTTTCCACAATATTTATTGAACACAATCACTATTATCTATAGTGCAGGTGGCAGGGTGAATTGGTGAAGAGAGGCTGTGCATCAAACATAAAATTGATAGCAGTGGCAGTTTATGTGAGTTTCTCATGAGCTAAAAGTGTATGCTTATCGATAATCAATGCAGCTACTGGGAGCAGGCTTAGCAAGGAGTCTACATGTCTGGTTACATTCCAGTGCTTCAAGGGAGTGTTATGCCCTTGGGCACTATGTTTAGCATATCGGAGCTTAGGACACTGTGCTCCTGGGAACATGCTGGCATACAGAGGCCTTCCTCCCCAGAGGCCTCCACGGCCTTCCGCAGTTTATTGTTCCCGATTTCTTTTATACATTACTTATAACCAATTTATGTTATACATTACTTATAACCAGTTTATAGAGGCAGACTGTAAAGCTTTCCTCCATTGCTGTTTCCTCCATTGCTGCTTCCCCCAACACCAGTCTCACAACTGAGGAATGTTTCCACAAGGAACCTGCATCCATCATTTTGAACTGCAAACATCAAGGGAGATAGTGCTCATTTTTGCCAGTTTCTCTGGGGGGGGCGACAAGAGCCTAACTACAGTGGGTATTTTGCTTCAATTTGCAGTAAGTTTGCTTCTTCTCAGGGTAAAGCCAACACAGGGGTCTCTCCAATTGCCATGATAAAGCTAAGACAAATTATAGGTAAAACAATACATGAAGTCCTTTTATTTGAAAATGTTTTTGTTTATCTGGAATACATTTATATAGTGGGTTGTGTCTGCTTAGCTGTATAAGGGGGTGAGATTCCTTTCTGTCTTTAAAATTTCTTAAAAGCTTGCCTATGATAGATATCACATTCTGATTTAATGCTTATTGAAGAAGAGAACTTTTTTCTTTCTCTATTACCTTTTTGGGGATGTTTTCTGGGTTGGGAGAAGATTTTGTTTTAAATTAAATTTCCCACACACTACTTGGGTACAGTTTTTGTTAACTTCTTGGAGATTTAAAACCAGTTCTAATAGCTACTTTTGATTATAGCGACATAATAATTATTATTTTACTAAGTTTGTAGTATTTAAAAAATTTGTGCATACTTTCTGTTGCCACTGTGTAACATCATAGGCATTAGAGCTTAATCAACACAACTGATTAAATTGTATCACGCAACTATCAGTTCAGACTTCCTGGGTTTGTGTATTACACCATTTTCTGCTACTATACCAAAATACTACAGACTGGGTAATTGGTAAGGAAAATAAGCTATTTTCACTCAAACTTCTGGATCCTGGGAAGTCCAAGATCATATTATTGGCATCTGGTGAGGGGCATTCCATGGTGAAAGTTAAGGGAGACACAATACATGAGACATGTGAGGAAAAGAAACCTGAACTACTGCAGTAACTAACTCACTCCTGTAATAATGACATTATTCTTCCTGCACAGTTTCAAGTCCCCACCATTCAATTCAATCACACCGACAATTAAATTTTTACATGAGTTTTGGAGGGAACATTTAAACCATCACGGCTTGATTGCTACTCTATATTTACTAGTTATGTGATCATTACCAAATTACTTTCTTTTCTATATTCCAGTATCCTTATTCGTCAACTACAGATACTAAAAGTTGCTACAGTGTAAGGTTATTCTAGGAAAATGATATGTTACTAAATGCAAAGTAGTTTCATTAATTATGTTTATAATTAAATTAATAGTATAAAAATATATTAAATGTATATAAATTTTATATAATTAATTTATAATTATATTACTATTAAAGTAGTATCTAACATATACTAAGGAGACACATTGTGTTTACTAAATTAAAGAAATATTTTGAGGCTATGTATATCATTTTTAAATCAGAATCTACAATTGATTTTTTTATATCCCAGTAGCACCTAATACTAATGTGTGGACCCACTCAGGACTCCAGGGTTCATGTAAAAATTATTTTAAGCTGTAGAAATTTGAGATTCAACAAATACTTCAACTTCTAAAAGATGAGGCTTCCATATAGTCTCTTTGAACACATACTCCCCGCTGTAGGAAGAACAAAGACAATCCTGCATAAAGCCTTCTTCAAAAAGATTTGTAACCCTGAAGACGCTCACTCATATGCAGAAAAATGTTGTTTCATTTGTTAACTTAAAATCCCATTTCCCCCCAAAGGAATCCATGTTCTTCCCGTAAGAACCTTTCTTGAGCCCTCCCTTTCTCAGCTAAGTTAGGTATACAAGCCTCTAAGTTGAATTATTTAATGTGCCGCCTATTTCTTGGTTGACTCCTCTATATATACCTATAAACCTTTTTCTCCCATTAATCCCTTTTTGTCAGTTTAATTCACCGTTCTCCAGTAATAGAACATAAGAGGTAAAGTTTCTTCTGCTTGATACCGGTAATTTAAAATAATGTACTTTATAGTTCAAGTTTACAGAGTATATAACGTGTAGTGACTCAAAATTGTTTAATATAAATTAATGTGTATATATTTCCAAGTAATGGACTACAGAATGGAAAATAGTTCTGAAGCAACAAAATCATAATAGAACCAGGTAGTCAGTCATGATGTCTTAGCATATCCAAAGACGTTCTGTATCAGAACATATGGGGGCATAAAAACCAATTTTAAAAAGGGATTTTTATAAAAATCATACATAGTTTTGGCCTCAGAAATAATGGACAACTTTTAAGAAGCAATATTGCAAAATGGAAAACGCTCTGGTTTTATTTTTAAGCTGAACCTAGATTCAAATATAAAGTACACTGTGTATTAATATTTTCAGAGTTTTAGATTTTGGCCATTCTAATAGGTATGTAATAGTATCTCATGGTTATTTTCATTTGAATTTCCTGGATGACATATGATGTGGTACATCTTTTCATATGCTTAACCTTAGGCTTTTTAGGAAAAAATTGAAATTATTTGAAATTTATTTGTAATTTAAATTGAGTTATTTTCATAATGAGTCTTAGTTTACTAGCATTTATCATTTGTTTTCCTCAAACCAGGTCCTATTGTAACCTGCGGGGAGCAGGGGCTCAACTCCCTCCCTGTGGATTGTCAAAGATGTAACCAAGGGACAGGAGCAGAGTTGCCAGGGTGTCCCAAATACGCTTCCAGGTCCCGGGTCTGATGTGCCCAGGTCCTTGGCTTCTCTTGTCCCAGGAATGGGGGAAGGGGTCCTGAAGGTGCAGTGAGCTTACCGTTTGAATAAATATTATAGACCCAAAGAGTTTAGCAGAGAGCGATTTATTAGGCAGAGACAGAAAGCAAGCAGAGAGACAGCTCCCATGCTGCCTGTGGGAGGGGATCCAAGGGAGGAATATGCAGAGGTAAGGGACAGTGGATTTTTATTTTTGCAGTTATTCCTGCCCCATTTATGTTCTTGTCTAAGGAGAGGAGTTCCTTCAAACTTCCGCTGGAGTGATTGATCTTTGACTTTGATATTGGATTGGCTGCTAGGTCCGCAACAGAGGCCCTTCCTCCCAGAGCTTTTTGAGGGATTTTTAAACAAAGTAGCACACCTGGAATTTCTACCTAGCCCACAGGCGGGAAAGTCAGACAAAGAACTTTACGTTCCTGAATGGGGATGTGGATGGAGGCATGGCGCTGGGAAATTCTTGCTTTTGAAACCACACCCCTTGTGGACTTGGGATGACAGGTTTTTTTTTTTTTTCTTAATACATTCCTTGACTATTATAAATGATTCCCTGTCATCTTCCTAACTCCCAAACCTGCTGATGCAACTATAGCTTTTCTAATTTCTTTCCAAGGTACCAACCTGCTTTGGTGACAGCTGAAAACCTGGATGCTCTGTTTATGTATTTTTTTTCAGATTACTGGTTACTGAAACGAAAGAAAAGTGTCTGCTTCTCCTCAAGAGGAAATAATACACATTGAAATGGACAATGATTGAACTGTGTTTACAAATGGGCAAAGTCATTATATTTAAACCAACCCAGGCAGAACCTTCTGTCAAGAGGACCTTGTACTCATCAATCAATCAATATCTCTTTTTCTACCTATCCCAGCCTAAGTGTGCTAATCATTGCTTTGTGTCCCTCCACAATACGGTTAACCAGAAAATAGCAGGAGTTCAAGCTTTCGATTTAGGCTTACAAGGAAGTAAAATCGAATTCCTATTGAATTTTAAGCCTAAGCTGCATTGGAGTGTGTGATAGGTGGTATTTAGGAGTGCCCTAGATAAGAATGAAAATGAATCTGTCAGCCAGAAATAAAATCTTAGTCTCCTCAACTGACTAGGCAGATCCCTCTGGGCCACGCAAAACTCAGAGAAACCTAAAAAACTGAATTTTAAGCCACAATGGGAAGCAGGTTGGATATGCCTTATTATACCTCCTCCCTTTTGGACTTTAGGTGGAACCAACCAGCATTATCATTCAAACAGAGATTACATGATTAACAAAACAGACTCTTTGTGGCAATAAGATACCAATTCCTAACCGGACTCTGGTCCAGCATCATATGGGAGATAACATATCCTGAAAAAAATAAAAATACTGTACCCTAAAATACATTTCTTTGACATATTTTAAAATGGCCTTATAAAGCCATTTTTGTGAGTGAAATTTGCAGCTGTAGAGAATCCCCATTAATGCAGGAAGGCCTTCCCTTTGTAGGCCTTTCCTAAACCTAAGAGAGAGTGAATGAGTCTGACACCTTTAAGTTCTGAAAAGAGACATTTACCAACTTTTCCCTGTGAAAGCTGCTACCTATGAGCTTCTTCTACATAACAAAACCTATGCCTCCATAAGCTCTCTTATCTTCACTCAAGTATTTCTTCTTAATTACTTCAAGTCTTAAGACAGATCTTACCTTTTTCAACCAACTGACAATTAGAAAATATTTGAATTCACCTGTGACCCGTAAACAACCCCCTTCTGCTTCAAAAAATGCTCTTTGTGATGTGCCGATGTACACTTCCCATGTATTAATGTATAATTTTGCCTATAATTCCCATCTCCCTAAATTGTATAAAACCAAATTCTAAACCAATTGCTTTGGGCACAGTTTCTCAGGGTCTTTTGAGACTGTTCCCTGAGCCGTGGTCAGTCATATTGGCTAAAAATAAACCTCTTTAAATATTTTACAGAGTTTGGTTTTTCTATTAACAGGCCTTGCTTCTTATTGGCTTTATGCTGCATTTGTTTCTGGTACATACACAAGTCAGTTTACATGTATACATGTTAACATGTTATGTATGCATTTATGTATACATGTTAACAATTTCCCAGAAAAGCAGGATGATTTAAGCACCCCTTATTTTGTTACAACTGTAATTACATCTTAATACTCTCACAAATGTATCTCAGATTGTCACAGCTAGCAAGATGAATACATAGGATATAGATCACTGATTTTTATTTCACCTTTTATCCGGATAATGTAGAATATAAGTTTTATGATATAAATTCAACAGAATGATTAGTAG